ACATTACTGAAACAGTGATGTCTATGTTGGCTCGGGCATATCATGAGAATGGCTGATGGTCAGATTCCAGAAGATCTCCTGTATTGAGAATTAGTGCAGGGAAATCACCTCAGAGGGAAACCAGAGCTGCAATACAAGGCTATCTGCGGGATCTGAAGGCCTTAGAAATGGACCTCAACAGATGGGAAACCTTGACATCTGAGCGCCCAGCTTGGAGGCACACAGTGCATCATGACCTCTCGCATTTTTGAGACACACAGTGCATCATGACCTCTCGCATTTTTAAGACACATTTGTCCAGCAGGCCAAGGCGAAGAGGCGGTCCCAAAACCAGCAAAATCAGGGAGCTGGACAGGGGACAGATTGTATTTGTCTTCAGTGCGCAATGAATTGTCACTCTCAAATTGGCCTTCTCAGACACACTAGATGCTATTCCAAGTCCTCTATTCAGAGCATGTTACCATAGTCTCTTGAGACTGAAGGATGCCTAATCCTAAAGTTTGATTTATGCTAATCTCACATAAAAATATACATTTTTTTTACAGATGCATGTGTATACATAATACCTTCCAATAAACAGTAGGACCCCCATATTCACATGAATGGTATCTGCGGGTTCAGTTACCCACGATTTTTTGCAGCCCTGTATACAGCATATCAGGGGATGGGCCTTGTCCTGTCTTCTTGTGACCTTTGTCCTGCTTCCTCATATGTTGTATATAGAGTTTTGTGGTTTCAAGCATTTGCAGTAGATCATGGAATGGGGCCCCACAGATATAGGGATCCTACTGTATTAATTTTACAGAACCATTGCCTATTTTGAAATAAATTACATGTATGTTATTTTTCATTCCAGCATTTGAAATTTGTAGATCAGAATCCTGTTGCACAGTCCAACTTAGACAATGGGAATTGTGTCATTGTTAGTGTCAGATTGCTGCTGATTAATTCCTTTCTCAGTGCTGGGATGCATCTGGCTCAGTGAAATGAACAAAATCACACACACTGAAATTGAAAAGTGATTTCTTAAATCAGTGGCAATTTTCTGCTGCTGCTACTCTCATTCCTGTAATTCAGGCAGAACCCACCCAAGCAAGAATTCAACTGTAGTTTAGTAAGATGTGTAGAATCCTTGGTTGATGAGTGCACTAGAGGTCTATAGAAGAGAGTCTTTGTGAATAATTATATACAGTGGTGCCTTAATTTGCGAACTTAATCCGTTCCAGAAGATGGTCGTAACTTGAAATGGTCGTAAGTCTAAACACCATTTCCCATAGGAATGCACTGAAATGCGATTAATCCATTCTGGCCGGGAATCAACAAAAAATAAAT